CTACTCATACATGATGCTTGATGCAACAAATACATGCAAAAAAGAGAAACATGCTCAAGCTAAAATGACTGAACAACCTCATTTTCATTCATTATAATTAGAAACTTAACAAATGCTATTGACTATGAGGTAGTCAAACCCATTACTGTGTCAAACATATGGATGATACATGCGAGTGGCTGGTCAATGCTGGAGAGGATCCAAAATTCCCTAGTGAGGACTTGACTTTGACTCAAGTTCGTAAGGGAACTGGAAGCCAATTAAGCCCTGTGAGAGCCACAAGATCTCAATCTCGAAGGAAGAGATTCAAGACTGCAATGGAGGATAATAAGGAGGAGGCAGCTCCATAGGAGGAGGGGGAAGTAGAAGAACATGTGGAGGAGGGAGACAAGTCTGATGATGACAGCATGGCATCATCATCATCAGATGCAGCTAATGTTGGCAGAGATATAGACATTGTTTGTAGTGATTATGAAAATGTAGACATCATTGGTGGTGATGATGAAACTCACTTGCCAATTTGAGTTCATCATATTTGATGATTTGTTTAGATTTATGAGCTTTGTTGGTTATGCAAGTTGTAATTTGTCAGTTCTTACTTTTGTTTGGTAGAGATTGACTGAAAATGTACAATGTTGATTTTGAGGATATGGGCATGTTTTATCTTTTTGTAGAATTAAACATTTAGGAATTCAATTTCAATTTTAAAATTCATTTATGAATGAGAGTCTGAGGGATTTTTTTTTTTTTTCAAATATAGTTTTGTAAGATCAATTTGGGGGATTCAATATCCAACCCAAACCCCCAAACATCCACCTCCGTGGATCAGCTTCCTGGGTAACTATGTGCCTTCCTAGTCATTCATTTGACGGCCTAGGTGGCCAAATCTGACTTATTTAATACTGCACACAAATGAGCTCTATTCAACAATATTTTTGTTGTCACACATAAATAAAATTAAGCTGACTGACAAACTTTTGAACCATATGACAAGTAATTTGGAAATTGTCTGCAAAGAGAAGTCATGATAAGGATTCATGTTTGGCCCCCATGCTTATTGATTTGCATGCATATAATTCCCAATTGACAAAACTTTGTTAGGATTTTAGTGTTTTGACACGATGGACTAACATGCAAAAGTATTATTTTTTATATTCATTAGGGCTGGCAATTGGGTGGGTGGCCCAGCCCAACCCGCCTGGCCCTCCTGGCCGCCCTAAAAAAAGTAGGGCCTGACCATAAACTGTGGCTCGAGGGCTGAGCTAGGATTAGTGCCAACTCCTTTTTTCTTGTTTTTCTTTTGTTTTTGGCCCGGTCCAGGGCCCAACCCAGGCCGGTTGCCACCTTCAATACTCATTCCAAAAGCCTACCCATACACTTCAATAATTATTCAATAAAAGCACATCAGATTGCTATAAATATTACTTTCACAGAGGATTATAAGTCCAAATACCTATCATCTTGGATTAGTATTATGTTTTTTATCTTGAGGGAAGAAATAAGATAAAACGGCTGGAACTTCTAGAGGCTCCGTGATCCCCTTAGGACTAGTATTCAAAGTCTCAGCCAAATCAACTCGGACTCGGCCTAGTTGCTCGACCTCAGTTGGGTGCCTAGCCGAGTTTAGCTGGACATACTTGCTAAGTGGGTAAGCTGCACTGCTCAACTGCTTTTACAGCTTTATGCTGTAATTTTTGGTTGTTCTGATCAACAATTGATCAAAACAATTATTCTTGGCAATGTTAAGCCCTTTTATTGATTAAAAAATGATCAAACTTTTGATCAATTTTGATCAAGGCATCGAGTGTTTATTTTTTCTCCTCCTTTTTTTGTGAATAGCACAAGTTTTTTGTTAAACCGTACCCCATTCTGAAAATGTGTAGATTTCTCCTGCATTTTTCATCCAATTTTGTTGAAATTTGATTCTGGTTCAATGCTATTCAAACTTCTGCAAAGTCTCTTTACTATCTATTGGATCAAAGCCTACAAATTTCTGAAAAAATCATAGTTTAGGGGGGAAAATGCACTTCTTTTAATAAGCCCTACCCCCTACCCGAATCTGTCAACGTTTTGATTTCTCCCTCATTTTCTATCCATGTTGAAACATGGTTCTAGTTGAACATGATTCAAACCTCTACAAGATCCCCATACTAATTTGTTGAGTTAAAGCCTAGAATTTGAGAGATTTGGCCTGAAAAATTTGGGTTTCAGGCTCAGGGGCTGGGGCTGGGGCAAGGGGGGCAGGGGGGAGGGAGGATGGAGTTTCTTTGTTAAATCCTACCCCAATCCACCAATGCTTAGATTTCTTCGTCATTTCTCATCCAAATCCATATGTGTTATTGACTAATTTTTTTACATTTACTTGAATTTTTTATTTATTTTGGGATTCTTTTTCGATTTTTTTCTTTTTTCCCAGGGCCCGTTGTAGACAAACGCAAAACTTGGGCACGTCCACCGTGACTTGCTTGAGTTAGTTGGCTTGGGCAAGGGCCAAGTCCTAAGCCTAAGCTTTGTTTTAGCTTAGGACCAAGGCATGATTCCATAAAACATTCCCAAAAATCCCTAAAACTTTCCTTTGAGCTTTACTCCCATAGAATTGCTCGAGTAAATCAACATCACCATGAGATTGCTAATCAATGCTAGAATAACTGGTCCTTAGGCGATTTCTATATATCAACATGTAGTCAATGGGCCAATTTGGGCGTACTCATGTAATCAATGGGCCAAATTGGGCGTACTCTGGGCCAATACTTTTTCTTTGGAAGGCACTCCAGAACAATAGTTGTAGGCCAGTTGGGGTGCTCTAGGCCAATACTTTCTCTTTGTTTGGAACGTGCCGCCTGTAGTAACAAGTACTGAGAAGAGAAATGGGCAATAGAATTACCAGCAGGACTTTTACCCAATTGCAAATTTATAATGGTGTGAGGTGGCTGCCAAAGCAGTCTCTTCCACCAAACCTAGAAGCTGCAGCATCCTTGGGGTAGCATGGAAACTACGGCTTCCCTAAAATAGTGTATTTCGTACTTCCCACACAACAAATGCAGGAAGTGCTACAGTTGTAGAAGGCGCGACATTCCATAACAGTTCAAATGGTTCAAAGTAAGCCACATTTATTCATTATAACCTACATATAAAACTACAGTGGCTTTTCCAAAGAATTCTAACATAATTACTGAGCATATGAGTTAAGTTTCATGATCAGTCCATAGAACAGTCAGGTTCTAAGAAGGGAAAAAAATCCGAGATCTCATACAGATCAATAAATAGTTGTTCATGAAAATGCACCCAATAAGCCTCAAATATAACCAAAAATTAAATTCTAAAATAAAATCAATGTAATTTGAGCCCATCTCTTCCAAAAACATGCAAACACAACAATGAAAAAGAAAAACAAAAATAAAAGAAATGAAATGCATCAAATAGATAACATGTCACGTACAAAAAGACATACCATGTTTTGTAGGCAACGAGCAGTCGAAGCTGCCCTTCCAATCAGGAGGGCACTCACAAACACTGCCCTCAACAAGGCACTCAGCATGGTGGAAGCAAAATATTTCCCCACAAGGGGCCCCAGTGTGCTCACAATGCACTCCTACAAACCCCGAGAGGCAGCGACAGCTGTAATTCTCACCATGCACAAGCTCCACACATGTGCCCCCGTGCTCACACCAGAACGAATTTGTTCCGTCGCACATCATCTGCACCTCGTCGCAAAACTGCCCCCTAAAATTAATTCCAAAATAAATTGAACAAAGGCTAATTAAATTTCCAAATCCACCAGTGCGACAAAAATTACTGAAAAGAAATAACTTGAATAGAATGAACAGAAAGAGGTGAACCCTAGAAAGAAGTAAACCTCTGAATGAATTCGTAAACAAATTGATCAAAAACCAGTTACAGCTGAATATACACAAAATATACAAATAAATCAATTAAATGAAATAACAAAAATAATAGAAGGAAAAAAAACTACAGCAGGAAATACACAAAATGCGTAAGAAAATTACCCAAATGAACTGACAAGAAAATCGAACAAAAAAAAAAACTAAACCTGGAAAATGGTGAACCCTCCTTGAATTAATGGGAAAACAAATTGACAAAAAAATAATTACAGCTCAGGATCCACAAAATGCACAATAACATCACTGAGAAATAACAAAACGTAGAAAAAAATAAGAATAAAACAATTACAGCTGAAGATCCACAAAATGTACAAAAATACACTGAAAAGAAATAACTAAAATAATACAATAAACAAGAAAAAGCTTTACCCTGACACAGCTGAGCATAACCCTGAATTGATTAAAAAATGAATTTACCAGAAATCACGAAAAATATTACAGAAAAAAGTTAACGAAAAAATAGAAGGAACAACGAAAGAAAAGGTCAACCCCAGCACTAGGTGGATCCCACTGTGGATTAATTCTTAAACCACCTGACCAAAAATTAACGACAGCTGAAATTCCAAAAACTGCATAAAAAAATACAAAAAAGAGCAGAAACAAGAAGAGGCTAATTCTTGCAACACACGAAGCTCCCCTTTAACTTATTCTAAAAAAACCAAAAACTGAAAACACCTACAATTACAAAAATGCATAAAAAAAATTTAAAAAAAAAAAACAAACAAAAGTACATGACTGAAACAAGCTTGAACTAGTTCCAAACAAATCAACCAAAACTACAGCTCAAAATCAACAAAATGAACACTAAATAATCAAACTGAGAAACTTCTAACCCTAAAAATGGGCGATCTCCATCCAAAATGGTGGAAGGGACGGGAATCCTGCAGATGCAGCTGCCATCTTCGTCGCAATTGCCAGTGTTGCACCTTGTATCTTTGCACGGGAGAGAAGAGGAAACGTTAAAGCGCAGAAGCAGTAGCAGTAGGAGGAAGGAGCAAAATGAATGCAGGTCACTTGTACTGTGAAACTTCATAGTGACATTGTAGGGTTTTCTGGTTTATTTCTTGATCAGATAATAGACAACCAGAGCTTCCACTCTCATAGAATTGATCCAGCCATTAGAGCTTGAAATTTGTGACAGTGAAATGATATAAAAGAGAAGAGGTGGTGGATCTAAGATGGCAAGAGATTCTTAGGGTTCAAGGAAAGGTAGGGACTGGGAAACTGCAACGAGACGCCAAGTAAAAAAAAATGCAACGTATTCTTCCTCAACTACGCGCGAACTACGAGATTGCATTTGATTTGAATGAAGCCGTTTATAAACATCCCGGAAATGCCCTCGCGGCTCCTAAAACAGTCACGATAGGAGGCGTCATTTAAGTGAGTGCTCCACCCATGGGCCGAGTGGGTTCCGAGCTAGAGCCGCGCGGGCCATTTTTCTAAGGGTGGGGTGTGGTTTGCACGAGTTTCTAATGAAGGTTTAAAAAATCGGATCATTGTCTGCCTCCCATTTCGATTTGGATCGGCTTGATTATTAATTTAGATCATTCTCAAATCTTCTTGATCGATGATCTAAATAAAATTTTAAAATTAAATAAGATAATATAAAAAATATAATAATAGTTTATAGAGTGGGGATTTAAGGGGACCACAAAAGCCATCAGAAAAGCTCAAAGACAAAAATGACAAGCCAGTTTTAGGGGAGAATCTATATGAGCCTCATACCATTTTTTGAACCGGTCCGAACAGATTTTGCATCTAGATCAGTGACCCGGATCGAAAATCATTGGGTTCTAAGCACTGGTTACAACCTTAAACAATCAAAGTATTGTGCACTAGCAAAGTTTGTTATGAGATATAATTTTGGTATTGAAAATTTTTAAGATGGTGTGAGAATCTATTTCATCTCTAATCATAAAATTTTAAACTTAAAAAATGGTTCCAACCAACATATCTATAAACACATAAAAATAACACGTATGCTTTTTAAAAATTGAAATCTTGTTTTTTTTTTCTTAGATCTATACATCTCGATGTTGAGATGATTAATTAGATGTTCTTCATCATCAAAAGCAAAACAACCTTTTTTTGAAGGATTCTAAGGATGCACCTTGATTCTACATTTTGAATGTCAATATTATAAACTGAACTTTTTTTATTAGCCATTTAAGTTAGTGCTCCAATGCCTTGAAAATTGTAGCCATGGGGCTAATGGGTTAGCCATTGATTTCAAGAAAGGAGCACCCGGGCCATTATTTTTAATGAAAATTTTGTGCAGTAAAAGAAATAAGAGTGGTGATCTTAGGAGACCCTGTCACAAATAGTGGTGTGAGGCCCCATAGAATCACGGGTGATCTTGACTCAAATATCAAGTAACGTCAATTATTAATTTCCTTCCCAGCACAAAAAAGTTAGAACAAAACTCACCGTGCAAGTTGTTGGGCCTCTCTCTTTCTCTCTCTAAATGAATGGCCTTAGAGGCCCGGTTGAAACCCATTGTCAGCTGCTCCCCTGCAACTCTCTCTCTATAGAAATGGTCTCAAAGGCCCATTTGAAACCCCTAGATAGCAGCTCCCCTGCACTCTCTCGCTCTTGTTTTGTTGTCGAATGACAACAAAGGAGTTAATGGTGGGGAAGAATAAGCAAGATTTAGCTTTGGAGGATTCTCCCTGTAAATAATAAGCATTATCAGTAGAAAGAGAAAGAAGCAAAACATCCATCTTGACTAGAACTGAAGGCTTACTACTATGAGATTGGACATGGAAATGTGATTCCTATGTGGGCAAGTGACTAATACGGTCCAGATTTTCTCGATGTTTGCTGGTTTTAACATGAAAGGATGTTCAAGGAGAAAATTTTGAGAAGATAGTAACAATTATTATTGCTTTGTGCCGGGCCATACTTTCAGTTTTCATTTCTCCTGTTTTGGGTCTTATTGCTCATGATGCATCCAATCTCATTGACAACAATCTGCCAGTTCTCCAACTAAAAGCTTGTAAATAACCCATTTCTATAGAATTTAGGGGGATTAAAAGTACCTGACGGAATGGTGCCCAAGTGTGTTTGGTTTGATTTAAATGGTTTAGTAAAGCTCACTAATTTGTTACCACCGAATACATGCTCCACTTCCCAGCAAGTGCACTTTTTTGTTGTTGTTGAGTCTAATGCTCAAGCTCCATTTCCTACTCCTACTCCTACTCCTGCAAAGGCTCCTACATCTCCAATTGTGCCAGTTCTCATAAGAAGGGACATTCGAATGTTTGGAAAATCAATGTTACTTCAGTTCTTCGTGAGCTTGTGATAATTAGTTTCTTGTGTTTTTTTGTAATTGGGTTATTAAAATACAAGAAGAAATCAAAGTTTGTAGCGATGGAAATGTATTCTGATCAAGGGGAAGCCTTGCACATGCCACTGTGGAGGTAGGTAGTAGCGAGAGAGACAGAGAGAGGTGGTCACGAGAGAGACATGACCACTTGTGGAGTTGGTGGTGAGAGGCAAGAGAGAGTGGTGCAAGGGAGCTTGAATGGGGCTTTTGAGGCCATGTCTTTAGAGAGAGGGAGAGGGAGAGAGAGAGGAGAGATGGCATGAGGGAGAGAGAGATGGTGGGGGACTGATTGCCGAGGAGAGAGAAGTAAGGGGACTGAGTTTTTAACTTGGGATTTGAATTGTCATTGCTCGTGATGCTATGGGGGTCTCAGGCCGGCAGGGTCTATAGACTCATTTCCCAATAAATAATACTCCAATGCAAAAATTGTTGAGGTGGAATACCACCGTGAGAAACTGAGATGGTTCTTAGAAATAAGAGCTTGAAGCTTTCCTAGAGCTAGAAGAATATTTAGTTTATGCTGAATCAAAAAAAATATGAAAGATCTTAAAATGGCTCTTGTGAAACTTAATAACGCTATCGTCTCCTATGCTTACCTAACATAACATAAGAGGGTGACTCAATTTATCATCATGAGACATATGAGATCAATGAAGCCAATCAAATAAAGACAATCTATGGAAGCAAAGATGGAAGCTCTAACAAAAATAAAACACAAACCTTATCGAATTACCACTGGGTATGTTTGTTTGTTTTGTTTTTGGAGGTGGTGCAATTAGCTGGTTGGTTATTGAGGTTGCAGTCTATGGCCACTTTGCCTTCTATAGAGGTTGATGATGATGCCATTTACTCATGCATATAAAGAAAGAGTTTAACTACATGTATCACTTGTAGAAGAAAAGATACTACTTCATTGCTATAACTAGAGTGACTTGTTTTTGGCAATGAATACAACATTCAATGATAGGACCCAAATATATTGATTCTCGATATCACTTGAGTGGGTATTCTCCATAGTTGCCAGTGCTTTTTTTAATTAGTAAAAGAGAGTTTGTTGCTTAGTGGATGTATACAATTGTCAAACCCCATAATCTTTGTATTTGCTCTTTTAATTTTCGGCACGATTTCTCTTTCTTTTTATTTTAACGCAAACCTTGCGACAATATTATCAACTAAATAATTTCCACAATTTGCATAAATAGTAAAACGATTGCAGTATTGTCCCGGATTACATATTATCAGCCAAACAGGCTTTGCAAAATTAATATTTGGATTTACTGACAAACATGAAACAATTATGATGGGGATAATAACCTTTTGTAGGGTAATCGGGTTTTTGGCTTCATGGGTTCGATGTTAACAATTGCAATACAGCAACGTAGATTCAAATTCTGAACCCCTAGTCATTTCGAACGACAGCATACTCCACGTTTCGTTGGAAGGGAATCAGGCATTTGGCTTGATAGTAACTGTGTTAACAAATGCGGCACAGCACTTCTAAATTCAAATTCCGACGACCGAGTCATTTTCCAAGACACCGTGTAACGTTTATTCGAATTTTTCTTGGCTTTAAAAAACAGGATCGGTGGTCTAGATTGCCCATTTGGATTTCTGATCTGATTTGATAGATCAATGATCAGGATTGCTGAATCAGAAAGTAAACAAAATTTAGTGGGATTGGTTCTGGCCAATTTAGTGATTTAAAATAAATATAAAAAAAGTGGATCTAATTCGTAGCAGTTCTCTGACAAAACCGATCAATTCTATTAAAGAACCGATAAGACTGGCTAGTTCAAGGAGGACCCAGCTGAATCCTGATATTTTATGGGATCAAGATTGGCCTTGACAGATTCCCAGTTTGCATTAGCCAGTTCCGATATGGATCATCGATTTTTTAAACCCTGATATTTTGATTGATATATATTGTAAATAGCACTCATTTTACCATTCTCTATAAGAATGAAATCTTTTTAGAGATCGGAGATTAATTCTTTTTTCTTCGTTTCTTTCACCAAGCAAAAGTTCTCTCATGGGCCAAAGTAGTACATTATGATGTGCGGAGTATCAAATTTTGACTATAAAAATATGGAGGAAAGTAGATCTCGGCCCGTAGTAAGAATGAAACTCAAGATGTCATCTTGGGCACCCACCACCCTGACCACCAATCCTATGAGCCCGTTCGGCCACTAAAGATATCGGAATATGCCTATCTATTCTCACCAAAGCCACATCTTGAAACTTCTAAAACATCGGTGTACAGGTTTTCAATCATCATTTCTCTAGTATTATCCCAAAAAGATCAAAATGCGAACTTCAAGCAAGGCATCTCAAACACTATTAGGAAGTTAGAAAGTAGGATATACAATTAATTTTAATATTTACATGATATTCTCCCTTTGAGAATATCAAATCGAACTCATTCATCTATCATACAATTCCCTTTCTTCTCTTGTATTTTACAATTACTGCAAATGGTGTTGTGGGTATACCTTTGGTTAAACCCACAACTTGTCTCTTTAATATTCCACCCACCAGAGGGATCACCTGCAAATGACATAACACACAAAAAGACAATTAATTATTTCCCCTTTGAGATTCCTTCCAAATCAGATATTCTTTCACATGCTTTGTCATCTTATCAGAATAAAAATGTTTTGATTTCACACGAATAGAGGGGAGAGAGAGAGAGAGAGAGGGGCATGGGTCATGTGAAGGGGGAGACCAAAAGCCAACACCGAAAGTGACTCCCATGACAAAGTTCCTCGCAATTGCACTCACGTTGACAAATCTGACGCTTATTTTTCTTAATGGCTAAGAAAAAAAAGAAATAAAATTAAAAAATGAGAGGCATATATTCTCTTAAATAAGACAGAGTAGGGCTGACAATTGGCCGGGCGACCTGGCCCTCGAGAGGTAGGGCCTGGCCCACTAACTATGTCATGAGGGCTAGGGCTAGGGCTAGGGCTCATGCGGGACAATAAGAGTAGATAAGGGCCGGGACTGGGTTCGGGTCCGGGTCAGGGCCAGCGCCAAAGCCAATTGCCACCCTCAAGAGAGAGATCAACAGGGATTTTATCGAGCAGGCAAGCCCAAAGATCACAGATACGTTTGAAAAATACCTATGAAAATAGCCAAATTTTCTATTTTATTAAATGGAAAATTGTTTCATGCGAACTGGATCGCATTTCTACAATATACGATCTCAAGGTATAAAGCATCCATCTTAAAAATAGATGCAAATAAGTGGACTATTTAAAAACAATTGAAACTAACCGATCCAAAAGTTTTTTTTCATAAAATCAATTTTTTTATTTTTAAAATTTATTTCTTTATTTATGTTCATGATCTCCATGTTAAAGATTAAATATTCTTAAAATTTGAGTCCAAAGCTCCATCTCAAAAATAAATTTTTAAGAGTCCGACTAATTCTACATAGACTCGTAGAAACCGTGTCTTTATTAAATTCCCGTAGTTTTTTCAAAGACCCACCCACCCAACCCAACCCAATCTCTTATTATGGCGAAGTGACTTGCTTATTATTGCTTTCCGAGTAAGCAAATGCGGTCCTTTTGACAAGATGGATGGCTATCCAACATCTTGGAATATTACCATTCTTTTCTCATTACAACGCCCATTTATTTTATTACTAAGGGATTGTCTTCAAAGATACCATTAATATATGAGTACCTTTTTTTTTTTTTTTTTTTAAAGATAATCCCACAAAATCCTTTTATTTATTTATTTATTTTTGTGCCTTATATGCAAGTTGTGGCTAACAATTGTTTAGAATTATTTTATATTATTGAAGTAAAGTGCACCTCAAAAATCTTGCATAAGAGAGTATTCTGGTGTTGAAAAATCCTCCAATTGATCATAGAGACATCGAGATATATAGATATATATATAAAAAAAAAGACTTTCAAGTCCAAAATATAATGTATCGTGTAATAAGTTATTTTGAAAATCTATTTTCAAGAATTTATTGATTGCTCTATCTGTATTATTTTTAAATTTTAAATTTTATAATTAGAGATACAGATACATTTTCAAGCCATTAGAAGGTTTGTACTACCTTGGCAACATCTCTAAACAAATTTTAGATGTCATAAAGAACAGAAACCAAATTTTATAATTAGGGATAAAAATATATTATTTTAATAATAAAAACAAATTATATAAAATTGAGGCCCTAAAGAATCAAATTAATACTCAACTCAAAACCTCACTAGAAGAGCTTGTTTGGATAACCTAAAAATCCTCAAATCAATCATCTTGATATCAAAATATATGAATATGAGAAAAAATAGATTTGAATTCTTGAAAAGAATGCTCCCGTAATGCATTTTGTGGATCGTCTTATCAAATGCTCATAGATCTATGCCATTTTTTAAGTTTTAAATTTTATAATTAAAAATAAAAATAAATTTACAGATTATCACAAAGATTTTTAATACTGAAATAATATCTTTCGACACCATTTTAAAATGCGTCTTACTTTCATTATTTAGGGGCCTCAGCTTTATACAATCCACACCCATTAATAAATAAATCGTGATATGTTTGCAATCAATGTGTTTCCTGGATCAATAATTCTACGGAAGATTTTGTTTGTGGAGAATATTAAAAAAAAAAAAATACACAAAAAGACATAAAGAAAAGAACCGTCACAGGAAATCTTCGGGGTTTGAAACTCTCTAATTGAAAAAAAAAAGGGGTGACGAGACAATGACGGTCCAGATTCCACCTCTACGACCCAGCCCCTCTATCCCTACCGTCCATTTAAATCAAATAACTCATCAAATTGCAGTCAGAGATAGCACGAGTGGAGAACTTACAAGAAAAAATAAGAAGGGTCATGGCACGTGCGAAGAGGTGGGTGCATCTCCTTTGCTATGTTAACCTCTCCCCTCTCTCTCTCTCTCTCTCTTTCTTCACTGAACTCTGACCTCCTGTAAAACCTTTACCTTCTGATACCCACTGAAGCCATTTTTCTTGCTCCCAAGAACCTGTAAATATCATAGAAATTAACAAAAATGGAAAAACCACAACATTGAAAAACCCCAAAAAAAAAAAAGAAAAAAAAAACCCTCAAAATCAACTTACTGCTTCAGGGTCTATTCTGTAAAAGATCAAGAGCTTGCGTCTCTCTCTGCAACTGATCCTATAAGCTACCACAATATGACTCAAACCAAGAACCATGGAGGCCAAAAATATGAGAGGGGCCCCTCTCAATTGCTTCAAATTCCCTTCAAAAACCAGGGCTTTGATCCATAAAAGCATCATAGATAACAGAGAGCAAACAGTAGCCGTGCCCAAATAAGGTCCATGAGAGAGAGCCACACCATCACAGATTGAATAAACGCCTGTAAAATCATGAAACATTAAAATCTTGTCCAAGAATGAAAATAAACTATATGGGGGAAATTCGAAAGGGAAAAGGGGAGGGCTGAGAATGGATGCTCACATGTTATGACGAGGGAGCGGACGATGGAGATGAGAGGGATGTCGAGGAGGGAGGAACGGAAGGTGTAGGAGGAGAGAGATTGATGAGAGAGGTGAGAGAAAGTGGAGAGAAGGGCAAATGGGAGGATGGTATCGGTGAGGAGTAAAAGAGCGGGCGCAGAGACCAGAAGAAAGGAGGCCGACATGCAAGCAATGAAGAACAGGGTCTTCGCTGCCCTGCCCAATGAACCCATCTGTCTATGTCTCTGCTGCCTTCGGATTCAACTATATGCCAAATCTTTCTCTCTCTAAGAGACAAGGAATTCGATCGAGAAAACGGTTTTCTAATCTTTGTGGTGAAGCAAATCTTGCAGGTTTGGGCGGTGGCATATATATTTCACGATGTTATGAAGGCGATTCATTCTCTCTCTCTCTCACTTGAAGATTCAGGCGAAATTGGAGAGCAGAGGAAGTTGCAGGGATGGACTCTGAGAGGTTTGACGAGAGAGGAGACGGGCGTTAAGGGCGTTGAAAGTTGAAACAAGGGCTTGGGCCCCTCTCTCTCTCTCTCTCTCTCTCTCTCTCTCTCTCTCTCTAAAATATGAAAATTCAAATGGAGGCTTCGAAGGTAGGTATGTTTGGCGCAAGACCGCATGTGAAAGAAAGAGTTTTATACTTCCATTTGGCGTTATATTGAGGAGGAGGCGTGCTATTAATTAATTGGATTTATTATGCATGGGCAGGGTATTACAGAATGGGTAATATTTTTGCAAAAATTACGTGGAGACCAGCGCTTCCTAGCGATTTTTTTACCCTTCTTTTTTTTTTTTTTTTTTTTTCAGAGTTGTCTACCTATCTACTATTTCGAACACCAAAATAGCTCACACATCCAATATTTTCAACATCATGTGAGAAATCCAACAAGTGTTCGGTTATCTCGATTAATTTTGGTACTACCAACACCGAACAACCACGTTATTCGGTGCTTCTAATGCCCGACATCTCAACTAATAAAAGATTTCTCTTACTCAGGGTTTGTCTGATATTTGAAAGACCACAAATTTTTTTTTTTTTGTACTTTTAATGTTGGATAGTTCAATTTCTTAAGCTGTCTAATATTAGAAATATGATATTTGTTATAAGTAATTATTATTACTATTATTATCATTATTATTATTTATTTAGTATAACAAAATTTATGTAAATTGTTATTTGTATTTCAATGTATTTTAGTTTTCAATAAAATTTCATGAAATAGAATTTAGGATAAGAAAATATTTTTTCTATTTTGAAATATTTAACATACAAAAATATTTAATTAAACTAATTTTTTATTTATTTTTTTAATTCGTGACTTTATATATATATATGATAGAATGGCAAAATAGAAATCTAAAAATAAATTAGAAAAAATAGAATTAAATAGAATAGAGATTTAGAAAGAGAAAATTAGGAATACAAAAGAAAATGATCAAATAAAAGATAAAAGAAAATATATAAGAAATCAAATAAATTCAAATACAAATAATACTAGATAAAATAAATATTATACTAATTAAATAATAAAAATTTATATAACAATAATTACTTATATTAAATATGATTTTTCTAGTACCAGACAGCTTAGAAAGTTGAGCCGTAAGGTATTACAACTACAAACACCAAATAGAGCGAAAGAAGCCCTTAGAGAAAGCCCAATATGTAAAGACTCCCAACCTATCGGTCTCGGAAATGAAATGCTCGACAAGTACAACAATACACAAGTGGGAAATTCAAAAGGAAAAAATAAAAAAAGAACCCATTTATATATGGGAAAAATTTATATAAAGCCGAGGCTCTAAATAATCAAATTTGAGCTTACTTCAAAAAGTTTATTAGAAGATGTTGTTTTGATGCCCAAATATCTTCAAATTGATCATCTCGATATAACGATATATGGACGTGAGAAAAACATGAATTTCAAGTTTTAGAAATAGTATATTTTATAATGCATTTTTAGATCGTCAATTTTCAAGATTTTCATAGATGTGTTGATCTACCCTATTTTGAAGGTTTAAACTTTATAAATAAATACAAAAATGTATTTTAAGACTATCACAAAGATTGCAGGTTGTAAAACCATATTTGTCGACACTATCTTAAGGTAGGTTCTACTTTTATTATTTAGAGCTTAGGCTCTATACAAACCGCACCCTTTATATATAAAAAAAATAACCCAAACCGTAATAAAAGCGTTGAAACCATGTCCGTACATCAATTTTTCCTGATTAAATTTTCTCAACGATGAATTGGATGGGAGTTAATCTTGGTTTTCGTTATTCGTTTATATCTTGTACAGCGTCGTTTTTGTCGGGTCTGTTGAAAAACTGATAAGAAATTTGACACAAAGTTTTTAAGGATCCTACCCTAGAAAGTAGCCAGATTAGAAATGTCAAATAGATTCCGTGGAATGGCATTTATCTCTAAAAAATGCCCCTCCGAAGTGCCTTTTATCCACCACCTCTTTGCACCGCCTGTGCATTAGATTCCTTGTTTTATTTCGGACGCTTACCCGTGAGGCTCAGAAAGGGGTGAAAACTGATAACTGACCTTATTTTAGACTTCTCCTATTTGACCAGTATACATCACTCTTAAAGTCCCACATTTCAGTTTATACTTTATACTCGTGTAACGATTTCTTTCTCTCCGGTCTACCCAATGTCGGAAAACGCGGTAAGAGCCGTTTCTTTCCTGAATTACCCCAAAAAAAAAAAACCTAATATTTATTTATCAAAAAACAAAATCTAGGATATTATATGTCCGATGTTTTTGAATACCATTATCACCGGCCAAACTTTATCCTAATTATTTGGGATCCGTGTTGATGATAAGAAGTGTAAAATTTTTGCCTATCAAATACAATCTGCCTCTTTTATCTGGCTTGGGATGGGTTAAGAGAAAAATTTAAGGTCATCACCCTTATTAAACCATATCAAACAACTAGCGATGCAATATGTAGTATTTTACATATTTGCAGTTATTCCAAATGTATTTTTTATAGGTATTTCGAAATTGAATCAAAAGTTAAAATATTAAAGGATGAGGTTTCTATAAGGCCTAGGCATTATGAAAACAAATAAAGCCTCACCTCAAATCTTTATCCAGAAAGTATTTTCGGCAATGGAAAACTCCATGATGGCTCTAAAATCAAATTCCAACACTGACAATAAAATTCAAAATTAAAAAAATGGTACAGATTTTGTAGATCTATAAACACTAATTTTTAGGACAAAATGAACAGTCTATATAATTTGTGACAAATATATTGAAATCTTATTTTTTTTCACAACTATAATGTTTAATACAAAATGATGAAAGATTTTCTAACACTGAAATTACAATTTTCGATGAGGTATGAGTTGAAGCTTTATTTATTTTGATATACATGAAACCATTTTTTCAATATTAAATAGTTAATCTCTCGCAGGCATTTTAATTAATTTCCTTTAATATTTTATAATTTTTTCGGTTTATTCGGTTTTTGCCAGCCAACTTTTTCAATTCTATCTTTATGACACAGTCACATCAACTATCTCCCATCGTCTTTATCTATTCTCAATTTTAAATAGCTAGAAAAATAGAAAACTTGTTTTGACCTTAATCGTGTTTAATGTTAGTTACAATGCTTGAATCGGACGATCCAAATCGAAAATCATAAATCGGTTTTCCACGAAACCCTGCCAAGTAAAGCCAAACTACTTCGCCGGCGAGGAACATCTTTGGTGACAAACTCGGAGAAGAGTGGTGGCTTGGGCCCCGTTTCCCACAAAACGCCAAATCCTCTAATCATCCCTGGCGTGTGATCTAATGTGGGACGACGAGTTTATCTTCACCGTTCATCACAGATTAACGGCGATAGAAAGTTTTGATAGAGTTGCAGTATGAAAGGAGTAGGGTATCATTGATTAGGAGTATAATCGGAGGGGGGGAAAGGGTCAAGTGCGCTGCACCTGAGCGGCTGATTGCTGCCACGTGTCAGTAATGGAGACCAGTCCGCCTGCTGACGAGCCGGCGTGCGTGACCCTCCACGTGTTGTCACATCGGACTCTCTTTCTCTCTCTCTCTCTCTCTCTCTCTCTCTTACTGCGAGAGAGCTCTGACCACGATTCTCGTTTGGACCGCTCATTTTTTACACGCAAGATGCTTCTCATGAGCCCTCCTTTATTTTACCCTAATTTTATTACTATAGGTTGCCGTTTGTATTTGTCAATTTTAAGTTCTTAACCAAGTTTTTATAACACGGTAGAACAGCGATCCGGATTGTAAAATCGGGCGGGACGGTCAGTTTTGGCTTTAAAAAAAATCCTAAATAATTACTAAATTTTATTAAGTGTTTTAAGTTTAAAAAACTGGTATTGTATTTTAAATTTTCATTATTTTTTTAAAATATATAAATAATAAAAACATATTTAATATATAAGTGTTTGTTGACCATTATATTCATTTCATAATCAAAATATAACTTAAAATGCACTCTAGGTCATACTTTTTTATTTTTTGTGTTATTATAATATACAGTGGCACTTACAGTAGTAAAGAATAAAGATGCATGGTATTGCTTACTTATTTCTTACTTCCTCCTTTTCCCTGAAAGCTAATTTAATAAATTAATTATTTATTCATTCATTCATATTTTTATTAATTTTTATCTCTTTAGAGGTATCGTATTTATTTATATTTAGCTTTAATTTATATCTTTATTATCTACTTCACCTGCTCTCCACTGATTTAGCATCGAGATTTTTTTCTTGAATTGGATCATTTTCTTCTTAAAAATATTTGTCTCTTTATCTTTAAAAAATATTATTAGTAGTACCTATTTCTCGACTTGTTCTACTCTAATATGCATAGAAATGTTGTCAAAACCTAAATTTTAAAAGTACAACAAGAAGCATCATTAAAAATAGAAAAAAGATCTATAATAAATTTATAATTAATTCCCTAATATCTTTTTATTTAAGTTCTAAAAGCTAACCTATTTTTCTTAATAAAAATTGTGAATTCAAGTATCAAAATTCTTGTATTCTACTAAGATAAAAAGAGATTTGGTAGAAAAATGCATTTGATTTTAGCCTAACCTAACGTCTCTCACCTTTAAAAAGAAAAAAATAAAGTTATTATCAAAGGCGAGAGATATTGGGCCATTTAAAGGTTAATAAGAAAAAATAAAGTTATTATTATTGGTAGAGATGTTGGGTCATTTAAAGGTAAATAAGAAAAATAAGGTACTCATTAAATGTGAGATATGTTGGGCCATTTAAAGGGTTGTAGGCCCTTTAAATAAGAACCAGAAACCCAATATCTCTCATCTTTAATTAAAAAAAAAAAGTTTCTTGTTAAAGGTGAGAGATGTCGGCTAAATCTTTAATTCCATTGGTATTTGTTGTATTAACATTTTTATTTCCAAACAAAAGAAGTTTGCCCCATGAAAAATGAATAAGCAAGACTGAGCGAGAGAGAAAGAGGCTTTATCCCACATTGGGCATATAGCCAATATAAGGGACTCAAAACGTTTGGATGGATAAAGGTTCCCCTTGTGCTGACATGGTGGGGCCAAGTAAATATTATTTTTTAAAAAAATTTAAAATT